GGGGAAAACAATCCTTTCCCCCTCGCCCGGAGCACTGTAAGCGCGCGGATTTTAAATGTTAAACAAACATGTCATACATTGATTCATTGCAGCCCATTTCCAGGGATAGATACCTTAACATTTTGTATTTAATAGGATCGGATTCTTGTCCATATCTTATTAAAGAGTGGACGAATGATCCGACTGAATGGCCTGAAGTTTCATTCCCTGATATCTTCTGCTACCTGGTTGAATCACCCGGTAAGAGGCAAAATCACGTTAACTGATGAATTAAACCTCACATAATTGATATGTCTAACAAGGAAATTAGCACGTTTTAGTGAATTTGTTCATCACACAATGGTTGTTATTGCACAATAGCCATCATGAGCTGCATATACATATTGGTTATTGACGACTCGGTACGTTATCACGCAGGGATTTACACACACACGCCTAAAGAACTATCGGTCCCTGGAGGCACACAACTTTTTTACAAGTGGCTTTGTTGGAGTTGTGCTCCATCATAAACTACCTTCATCGGATACCTACCTGTTCCGATGTGATGTAAAGCCATCCTGGAGGGTGACAGAGAAGCCGCAAAGGCTGGCTTCCGCATCTGCCAAACTATGCCATACCTGGGGGTTTCATGTGATGGCTATGTTTCCTGTGACTGCTGTGGTGAGGGTGTTATAGAGGCTAACCCCCAAAACACACCAGGAGCGTCTGCGTCGTGTTACGGCCGCGCCGCGGCGGTCGTAAGGATCGCGGCCACTCTAGTCAATGGGTGCTATTACACCACACGCGCCGTGTTACGGCTCAGACGCGTCCCAGAAGCGGCTCGGCGCAGCGCTTCTCTAAAATTAGGATGAATCCTATGTTTGCCGCGGCGCAGCCGTAAGGTAAACTCCTCCCCCCATCCCCCCGTAGTCTTTCAAGTAGGAGAATACATGCCAGCATTCTCCTCCGGTTTACAGGCACTGTAAATGATATATATAGAATAATTATGATGATGAATGCATATTTTTTTACCACTAAAATACAGCAACACATCTTTGATTCATGTCGTTTATAACTGGAATATTACAATTATTATTAACTGTGTCTGTAGTCTACAACACAACAAAATAGGAAATAACAACAATAAACACGATTTAAACAGACACAAACATAAACCATTTAACTACGTATAGCCTACTTACTTGTAGAAGTACAAATGTCCAGGAAATATTCCAAAATCAACAACAACTGCGAGGCTGCACACACGACGCTCCGCTTCCGCAACGTTTTGAAACGCGTCTGGTGTGTGTTGACGCAGGAGGAGGTCGCAGCGTGACGCAGCCGCAACGTAACGCGGCGCAGACGCTCCTGGTGTGTTTTGGGGGTAACCCCCAAAACACACCAGGAGCGTCTGCGTCGTGTTACGGCCGCGCCGCGGCGGTCGTAAGGATCGCGGCCACTCTAGTCAATGGGTGCCATTACACCACACGCGCCGCGTTACGGCTCAGACGCGTCCCAGAAGCGGCTCGGCGCAGCGCTTCTCTAAAATTAGGATGAATCCTATTTTTGCCGCGGCGTAGCCGTAAGGTAAACTCCTCCCCCCATCCCCCCGTAGTCTTTCAAGTAGGAGAATACATGCCAGCGTTCTCCTCCGGTTTACAGGCACTGTAAATGATATATATATAGAATAATTATGATGATGAATGCATATTTTTTTGCCACTAAAATACAGCAACACATCTTTGATTCATGTCGTTTATAACTGGAATATTACAATTATTATTAACTGTGTCTGTAGTCTACAACACAACAAAATAGGAAATAACAACAATAAACACGATTTAAACAGACACAAACATAAACCATTTAACTACGTATAGCCTACTTACTTGTAGAAGTACAAATGTCCAGGAAATATTCCAAAATCAACAACAACTGCGAGGCTGCACACACGACGCTCCGCTTACGCAACGTTTTGAAACGCGTCTGGTGTGTGTTGACGCAGGAGGAGGTCGCAGCGTGGCGCAGCCGCAACGTAACGCGGCGCAGACGCTCCTGGTGTGTTTTGGGGGTAAGTGTCCTTACAGGTGGGGGCAAGACACCTCTACTGGGTATCAACAGTGGCTTGAGGACAAAAGAGGACATCTGGAAAGTCTGACAAGCTTAAAGAGAAGTCATGCATATTTCACTCAGGTATTTCAATATTTCACCTGCATATACCTGCACACCTCTAATAAGTCTGGAGCATTTTGTGCAATTATCCAAGATAATTATCCACAGATGGCATACTGTCTATAATGTACATATTAGTGTTATGATGATTGCATTGCATTTGACAGGTCCAAATGCAGATGTTTGTTACCAAATGGATGTATGTAGACTTCATCACTTGGACTCCTCAGACCTGCCTGATATTCAGAGTACAAAGAGATGAGGACTTCATCAGTGGTGCCATTAATGTGATGCAAACATTTTGGTCACAACACATACTACACAAACTTCGGGAGCTGAAAGATGCACAGGTAGGTGGTTGAATTTCCTATCAGTGTAAAAATGGCAACAAATAAGTCACTGTGACAGAGTTACATATTTATTTATACCAATTCATTTTGAAGCATATTATAGCTATTTTATTTAGTATCAACATAGACTACTAGACTATATGTACAAAATCAAATATCACAAAGCCTATACATTTATTTACAACATGAAAACATACATAGGCTACAAATAGAATGAATAATGGGCTGTACAATATTGTCTATACTTGTGATTTTGATACTAATCAGATAATAATTGTTGATATTGTGATGTTGATCAAATTGTTATTGTGTTATTTTCAAAGGGGGTGTACTCATTTATGATAAGCACTGTATATGTTTCTGCTAAGTAGGCAGAACACAGTCCAGTCGAAAGCAGCACAGGGAGTGACCCATCAGGCAACACAAGTGGCAGCAGAACATCAGGCAACAGAAGCAGAGTGTCAGGCAACAGAGGCAGAGCGTCAGGCAACAGAGGCAGAGTGTCAGGCAACAGAGGCAGGGTGACAGGGTATGCAGCAGCAGAGCAGCACTGAGATCAGTTCAGGGACCTGTGGAAAGACAAACAACAGGTGGTTTTGATTAGAAAGATCCATTATGTCTCAACTGAAACCTGTTAAATGGCACAATTGGAACAATAATGACTTCTTTGTTGTATAAAAAAGTTGCATAAAATATTGTTCTCTGATGCTCATTATTAAATGACTGCACATTGATTTTGTTCTTACTCTCAGATTCTGTAACGGTTGTACATGACACTGCCAGACAGGTTCATTAGTGCTGCACAGACATGCACAAGCCTATCAATCATGGCCTCTTCTCTCTTCTGTCTCACCCTGCAGTCTCTTCACCAGGCGCAGAGGAAGTGGGCCATCCAGAATGTGGTACCGGCTCTTCAGGGCACCAATGACTCTCTCTGCAGACCACAGATCACATATTTGTTGTTAAAATGCTGTTTATCTACATTGTTATGTTTGAGTTTCACAGGAGTAGCACAGTTGACCGTTATATCATATCGTCAGTGCATTGTGTCCTATAATTAGTGTTTCTTTTTCATGTTAAAGTGAAGAAAGATCCCTGTTAACTTCCTGTTATCTTGATATTGCACTAAATGTGAACAACAGTTCAATGTATTTAAATATAGAATAACATGTTTTTAAGATAAAATGTTATCTGAAGACACCCTACAAAGTAGGGATTACACATGTACTCGTTGATGTGATTAATTGAATAACGTCTCAGCACTTGTTAACCCGGATCTGTACTGTTACAGTAATTCATTTAGTTAGGGAAATGTGAACCACGTCAGCGGCAAGTAGCAACAGTGATTTGATGATGCAGCACACTCTGAATACCAAAAACATTAAAATGCACATACTGTATGAATCTGACTGCTGACTCTATATGTGAATTCTGATGTTCGAAGTCACACGAGAATTTGCAACATCTTCGGCTGACAGTTGTTTTCGGCCCCTCGTGAAAGACGGTGTGATGAGCTGTGCAGTGTGCACCCAGAACAGCAAAGTCATCCTTCAAAGTGAAGCCCCTGTCGGCTAAAATCTGAAATAAACATAACAAATACTTAAAAACACTACTTTACTTCAACAGCAACTCAAAAATGGTAACTATGGGTAAATAATAAATTCAAAAATAAGACTTAAATTAGAAACAAAAAAACAGTTCAATTGTTACCTGATCTCCTGCATGGTGGAACTTCTGAGATAAGAAGTCTGAGTTCCTTACAATATGCACATCTGAAGCCCTCCCTCCCCAGCCTTTGGAGAGATATGTGATTGAGCCAGATGGGTGACATGCAATGAAATACTTCACTGTTGTCCAGTTTTTGTATTTTGAGTAGGTGATAGCTCTGTGAGAAGAGACAGTCGTTAGTAATACTTATCTATAAATTGTGTACATATACACAGACAGCCAGGTAAGTATTACAAAAACCCGACACTTTATGCATGCTATCAAAAAGAAAAATATCTCACCTTGTTTTCAGCTTCTTTGAGTGTTCAATTCTGATCTCAAAGCAGTCGATAATTGCAGTCACTCTAGGGTACTGGAAGAGAACCTCTGCTGGTACTGTGCTTCTGATACACTCTCTATCAGGCCATTTAATCAAAAAAGAAATGTTGGCGTACATCAAATCCAACCATCGGGAGAATACATCCAGGAAAGTGCTATATCTATGTGCCAGGTCAAATATTCCACACATCATATCGGTTGAGGGGTTCTGCCGCAGTTTCACCAGAGTAATAAAGAGCTGGTCTTGGAACATCTTGGATGTTTTCTGTGACTTAACAAACTGTACCAGGTACTGATGAAGAGTGTCAAATACTGTCCATGACAGGCCTGTCATGACTTTACATTTAGTGTCATTTTCTCTCACAGTGTTTACCGACATTTTCAACGTCTCCAATTCTCTGATGGCTTCAGCTCGCTCCTTCATTCTCTTTCTCTTCTTAAATTATACAATTCTTCATAAAGTTGTTTTCTCTCTAACTCCTGAAGAGGTATGGGAGCTTCTGATGTTGGGATTCTGGTGCTGGGCCCTCTGATGTTGGGGATTCTGGTGCTGGGCCCTCTGATGTTAGGGATTCTGGTTGGGCAGACTGAACACCCTCACGCTTCCTCCTTCTCTCCAGCCTCTGAAGTACTGACCTGGGAGACTTTGTCTTTTGATGTGGGAACAGCGAGGGTGTGTAGTCTGGGTGGGCTATGTCCTCGTTTTTTAAGCCTAGGGCAAGACAGTTCACAAACGATTAGTTTGGTCATTAAAATGCGTTTTGATGTCATTTCATGCGAGAAATATGAGTTGTTATTTAAGATTATGTGTGCAGTGGGTGTACATGATCTTTAGTTTGCTAGTTATTACGAAGATTACTTCAGGAAATTGTGTCCATTCAACGTTTTCATTGTTACCAAGATGGTTGCTAGGGACGCTGCTATCGATATTATTTCTGTTATGTTGTGTACAATGGTGTTATCTTTATTGCTACCCCCTTCCCCGTCAATGTATAGTGTTGGTCCACAGTGCAAACGTAGGCCTATTAGTTTAACAAAATCAAAGGTACAAGCTAGACTTTTATTTAGCATCTCAAAACACATCGGACCGGTGTCAGTACCAGATATGTTCGGGCTACCAGATATGTTCGGGTGTATTTCCGTCGCATCCGTCATCCGTCATATGACGGATCGTACGGCAACTCAAGAGGGCCAACATACACGGTCAAATTCCGAACATTTAAACATAGCCGACACTTCATTCTTTACTTTGTCCGTTATTATATGTAGAAGATTATACTTTTTCTCCGTCATGTTGTTTCCATAGCAACAACTTCAAACAGGCATAGCCTACACTTCATTCTTTACTTTGTCCGTTATTATATGTAGAAGATATTAATTTGTTCTCCGTCATGTTGTTTCCATAGCAACAACTTCAAACAATAACAACTAACCGCTAGCCGCAAAGCTAGCATCACAGCCACTGCTCCGTTTTCGGAGACTTTGCACACGTTTTTCACAAACATTTTCACACGCTATGAGTACTTCCAATAGCTTCGTCTTGATCTGTAGATGTGATTTGATGTGTCGTGTGTCCCCCAACTCCTCTCCAAAGTTCAGATATTTAATAAAATACTCAGGGGAGTTTCCTGAATTTTCATGCCCAAAGCCAAGCACTAGGCCCTGGGTAAATTAAGAGGCTGATCTCGGGCACTTTTGTCCACTTTCCCTGGTGGCCGAAACTCAAGCCAGACATCCATGGAATCGTCTCAGAGAGTAGATGATCAGTGGGGCCTTGTTTTTACTGAATGATGTGTTTTTTTATGGGGAATTCAAATATGAGCTTATTTTTAAGATTTTCGGAGACTTTGCACACGTTTTCACAAACATTTTCACGCTAGGAGTATGGGAGTACATCCATTCGCTTCGCCTTGATCTGTAGATGTGATTTGATGTGTCGTGTGTCTCCCAACTCCTTTCCAAAGTTCAGATACTATATAAAAATACTAAAAGGTAAATAAAACATTAAACATAATGACAAAATAACAACCTGAAATATATGTATTCTATCTACACATTTCGTAATTATCTAATCTAGTGGCCTTATAAAAGTGTTGGCTAAAGTAACGCAGAATATATATATTTTGTAATTGTAAATAATTAGAAACATTATTTATGTGCACAAGTACATGGGACCCCACCATAGCACCCCACACATAACAAGCTGTCCCGAGTTCCTCCGGCTGCAGTTACGCAGACGGCCGGTGTGTGGCAGCAGAGCGCTGGGAGCAGAGGGAGGTGAGTATATGACGGATATGACGGAGGCGACGGAAATACACCCGAACATATCTGGTACTGACACCGGCGGAGACAGGAAGTCCGGCTCACTAAAATGTCCGTGCAGAACAATACCCTGGCCTAACCCATAGATCCGTGGGTGAATAATGTCAATCACCACAATAGATACGTTATTTTCCGTTACCAACACCGTTATTAGTGTTGGTCCACTGCTTTTCTCTTTGAAAGTCATCACATAACGGCATTGTAATACACGGTTCGGCTGCATTAAATGTTACATATCTGCTGTAGTTCTCTATTTATAGAGCCTTGATGAGACAAACATGATGAACTGGAAACGTGACATGGATCATAAATATATCAGTAATTAAACAACATCTTACATTTATTTTCACACAATACATCTCCTTGCAGTATCAACACTAATTCGGCTTACTTTTATATTTGATCCAATTGGTAGATAGGCTGTATTTACACCATAAACGTGCACACCTGATATAAAGGGACACCTAGTGGTTAAAGCATGTTATTGCATTTCATTATTTTTATTATTAAACATTAATAGAATCCCTATAAAGTATGTTCATTACTCGTTATTCTCTACTAATAGTTAATTAAAGACTGTATATAATGACTATTTTGCACATCCCTTTCAAGATTTTCTAAGGTTTATTGACATTCACAAATGGTGTAGTTATGCAATGAATGTAAATCTTTGTGTATACCTCCAGGAATGTTAACTATGTTGAAGCACTTATTTTAACTGATATTATACATATGTATTATACTCTTATAAGATGTAGATAGTATAAGAAATGTGCAGAATATGACAATTGAATGGTAGAGGTACACAAATATTGAAAGATGTCTTGTGATGCACTGTTGAGGAACCTGTGACCCAAGTTTTTCATCTCCGGCCTTGTCAGGTATTGAACAATCAATAAATAAAGAACAGAGAATTATTAAATATAAAACACAGAATTTGTGTGATTATACTAAATGATTTACAAATAAACACCACTGCATATGTACAACTATACACATGCTGATGTAACGCAAATGTTTCCAACTTGGGATCAATAAAGTATATCTTATCTTAAGCTGATCGATGGCTACTGCCAGATTTGCAAAATGTGCCTCTGAACCTTGACAAGTGCATGTTTCAGGCTTATCAATGAACAACAGGAGGGGTCACAGACATAAGACCAGCTGTTAAATAAAGCACTTCTGACCTTAGCTGTCGTGTGGGTATATATTAATGCTGCCCATTGGGCACAAGCAATTTTCACCCATTTATTAATTATATTTTTTTAATTTGAGTGTTTCCTATCCCCTAAACCTCCAAAATCAAATCAAATCAAATCAAGTTTTATTTATATAGCACATTTATAAACGATTTTTGGTCGAGCCAAAGTGCTGTACATATAATAAAATTAGCCTACAGTAGAGACACTTTACAGCAAATACAACAGCACAGATTGTTCAGAATATCAGTATGAGAAAAACGACACCCTCTGTCTTCCAGGGATGTACACAGTTTAATACTGGCAACTTCTTATTATGGGAAATATGAAAACGTCTTTTAAAACTACAATTCCCAGTAGAGACGTGCCAGCATGTGTAATTCTGGGGACGGGGTGGGGGAGGGGGGGACGCGGTGGACCCGTTCAAATCCAGTTTTGGACAGTCTGCCGTGGTCCCATCCCATTTCATGGGTATTGTTCTGCACGGACATTTTAGTGAGCCGGACTGCCGGTCTTCGCCTCCCGGTGTGTTTTGAGATGCTAAATAAAAGTCTAGCTAATAACTAATACGTTTGCACTGTGGACCAACACTATACATTGACGGGGAAGGGGGTAGCAATAAAGATAACACCATTTTACACAACATAACAGAAATAATATCGATAGCAGCGTCCCTAGCAACCATCTTGGTAACAATGAAAACGTTGAATGGACACAATTTCCTGAAGTAATCTTTGTAATAACTAGCAAACTAAAGATCATGTACACCCACTGCACACATAATCGTAAATAACAACTCATATTTCTCGCATGAAATTACATCAAAACGCATTTTAATGACCAAACTAACCTTAAAATAGGCATTTTACACCGAGAATAAAACGAAGGTCGGCCATGTTTTTTTTTCTGCAGGGAGAAATTTGAAGATCACGTGACATAGAAGCCAGCCATTGGAATGAATGGTGAAAAAAAACGTAGGCATCTTACAATTTCAGAGGCGTTTTTGTAGAAATACTACGTCCTACGTTGTGGACCAACGTAGTTATTACACGTTTTTTTGTGAGACTGGGTTAGTTTACCGGTATGTTTGATATGTAGAGAGAAGTTGTCAACGGTGGTGCAGCCTTTACTACGGTGGCCGGCAGGTGCAAACGCGGAACAACGGCCCAAAACGCATACATAAGCAGGAAACACCTGCAAATAATGAAATGAAAAACAAACAAACCCTGAAAACAAATACAACAGAAAAACGCTGCATTTACAGAAATGTTGCAAACTAAATACAACACACAAACCCCGAAAACAAACGGAACAAAAAAACGCTGCAAATACCAAAATGATATGCAAAGTCCAAAGCACGTACAAATCCCAAAACACATACAAAAAAAACATTCCGGAAGTGCTCCAGGCCTCTAGGGGGCGCGCTACGTGGAACAGATTGATGTCTGACCAGACATAGAGAGAACAAACAAGAGTGATGGAAATCGAGAGGAAAGAAAGTTCATTTAAGTGGAGAAAGATATAAGAAGGTAAGTTTTGTTTTAATACATAGAGCGTCATATTTATATAGCTAGCGTTAGCGTGCCTAACTACTACACCAGCTGAGGAGAGCTTCACGTGAAGAGAAGATAAAGTGAGGGAAGAACATTGTTAAAAGAGATGACAAATCAAGTGCAGGCAAATAACACGGGCCATAGTCAGTACCGCGGAAAAAGGACATTTGAATTCTTAGCAGTTTGTTTATATGTATATATTTGTGTATAGATGTTGCAACTATACAGAGCTTTAGCAATTACCTGTAACTATGGTCATGCTAATAAAGCTATTGAATAGAGAGAGAGAGAGAGAGAGAGAGAGAGAGAGAGAGAGAGAGGAGAGAGAGAGAGAGAGAGAGAGAGAGAGAGACGAGAGACGAGAGAGAGAGAGAGAGAGAGAGAGAGAGAGAGAGAGAGAGAGAGAGAGAGAGAGAGAGAGAGAGAGAGAGAGAGAGAACATGTGAAGAGGGACAAAGTAATGACAGGAGAGTAGTGTGCATTAGACATGCTCAAGAACAAATATAGAGACATTCAAGGAGAGAGAGAACACAGATTCAACGGTAAACATGATGTATCTTTCTATTTATTTAGCTAACCACTATTTAGACTATGTGTTTTTGATTAACTTGATTAAATGGATTTACTACATCAATGTATGTCTTTTCAGGCCGCCATGTTTTGTCCTTTCTGTGGCCAGCATCTGGGGACAGTTCAAGTGTTCTGTGGCTCCTGTGGCAAACATGTACAGTTTTTGGCAGAAGTTGAACACAACAGTAAGTTCACTTTTTTTATTGTATCTGTTTCAAATGCAAGAAATAAGGATTCAACACACTACTCTGTTTAGAATACTAATTGGCAGATGCATACACTAGTTATCAGCATGAAGGACACATTTTTTCATTGTCTGTTTATGTGAAATATGTAGAAGCCATCATTAAATTGTAGACCAATGCATGATTAAATACACAAAACAGCTTATATTATACATTCATAATTGTGTATTAGTTCTATCTTTATAGAGAACATTATACATTTAGAATCAGATTTTGAGACAGTGAGCGGCTGGGAAAGTCACACCGCCATGGGGCACAAACAGTTGCTGACGTGATGTTTTCTTCATTCTCAGGCATTCCATAAGGAGGGTCAGGAACTCACGCTTGGGACCACCATTGTCCCCTCCATCCTCAGTGTGTCCCTCATCATCAGTGAACTTAACTGACATCTCATGAGAGGGATCGAATGAGGCACCTTTGAAGCCGCGGATTGCTCCATCGCACACACTGGCTCTATTAATATTGAACCTGCTGCAAGATGTATTTGTTATTTTTGCAGAGAGTTCTGCAACAATGTGTGCCGCAGTCAGGTATTCTGTGCTGGGAAAGACAAAGTGATGTATTGTAATATTAAATGATGAAGCTAGTAATAAGATTTACAGAATAGAATAGAAAAATTAAGTGGTAATAGTAACAATTAATACCTTTGCTCCATTTTGTCTTCTGGCTCAGACTGGCTATCAATAATGATAAGTGCATACACAGTTGTGTAGTTGCTGCAGTGAGAAGACAGTTGAATAATTACTTTCAAATACCTAATATATGCATGACAGTCATATTTACAAAAGGATGTCGATCCTCTTCCTGTTTTTTCAATACATTGGGTTCTAAACTGACAACAGTACTTTTGTCATACTCCTGCACAATCCTTGTAAACATTTGAAATGGATGCAACAAAAAATATCCGATCTTTGAAAAATATTTGTGGGTGTTTTTTGTATTGTCTTCACTAAGATGTCAGATGTTGTGGGTGTCATTTGGAAATGTATAAAAGTATAATTGTTCTGCTTCCTGGCAATGTTACCCACTGTGATTGGAGGCTATACAAACAAACAAATGTAAAATAAAGATACACAGCAAACAACTGTGTCACGATGCAACTGTCAACCTCGTTTACCTATAGAAGTGGTTCTGACCCGGGGCAGACTGGACCTCTTCCTGGAATGGGGTTGGTGCTCCATCCTATTTTTACCCAGGAAATAAGTGCACACAAAGGTATTTATTGATTTAATGTTCACAAATTCAAACCTACATGGTATAATTACATTTGTAATTAGTCTTACCCGATCAGACGCTGGTTGTGGGTGCCTGAGAGGTCTGATAAAGGTTAACAACAAATATATTCAAACTACTGTACTGTTAAAACATTCTGCTTCTTGTGGCACAAAATAATATGTTGACAATGTTTTATTTTACCCTGCAAACTGTTGTCCATTCGTGGAGTGCTCACTTTTGGAACATTTGGAATGTCCCACACCTGCATACAACACACAAATGACTGACTGAAATAAAATACATTCACTTTAATTAAGAATAAATGCCACGATAAATCCAAACTGACCAAGGTACATTATATTGTTGACCGTCCTTTAACTCTCACATTAGGATTTACATTGAAGCACAATAAACCAACTTCTCTCTGCACCTATAATATATCTATATGATGTCAAGAGTTACATTTAGGTGCACAGACAGTGCTGTCTCTTGACTTGCAAGCTCTTTCACCAAACAAGCTAACGCTAGCTGGGTAAATATGACGCTCTTTGTATCAAAACAAAACTTACCTTTTTATATATCGTCTTTTTCCACTTCGATCAACTTCGTTTCCTCCGGCTTCAATTTGCAGCACTCTTGTTCGTTCCCTCTATGTCTGGTCAGACATCAATCTGTTCCACGTAGCGCGCCCCCTAGAGGCCTGGAACACTTCCGGAATGTTTTTTTTTTTAAATGTGTTTTGGGATTTGTATGTGCTTTGGACTTTGCATGTCGTTTTGGTATTTGCAGCGTTTTTTTGTTGCGTTTGTTTTCGGGGTTTGTGTGTTGTATTTAGTTTGCATCATTTCTGTAAATGCAGCGTTTTTTGGTTGTATTTGTTTTCAGGATTTGTTTGTTTTTCATTTCAGGATTTGCAGCTGTTTCCTGCTAATGTATTTGTTTTTGGCCGTTGTTCCGCATTTGCACCTGCCGGCCACCGTACTTTACATATCGAGGAACATCAAGGGAGAGGAAGACAGCTGACGATCTGCAGTCATAATTCAATGGGGTATGTAATTTATTTCAGAAAACACTTTTTGTTATATTCCATGGAATGCTCTTAACGTCCCGATAGCAATGAATATATTAAATGCTTTGACAATAAATACATACAAAAATTAATCTCTGGAAGCCGTAGCGCTGTAAAAAGCACGACCAATCATCTGAGCCGGCCCGGCTAAAATAACTGGATGGCCTAACTGCCTGTCAGCCTTCCATCTGTGCACAAATTTATCTCGTGCCCTCATTGATCATGTGCGTGTTCGTGTGTGTTGGAGGAGGGGCTCTGTAAGAAAGTCTGAAGGAAGAGGCATATTTTTTCCGGTTGTGTACTTTCAAATTCTAGCGCACTCGAGCTGGTTTCTCCATTCTTACGATTCGTACCTACCGTACCTTTAACTCTTTTTAGGGTGCAGCTATATGTTTTATTTATTTCAAAGTGGGCCCATTTTAATAATATTTGTTTCCCCTTCAAATGTGCAGAGGACTCCACAAGTGCTGTGTTTAATTTATTTTAAAGTAGGCCTGTGTATTATTTTTAATTCTCCTTATAAGAGTTCTTTGTTTCTTATTAGAGGTTAACAGTTTTATATCATGTAATAAATAGCCTAATAAATGCAAAAAAACTGTAGTTTTTGTCTGATATAACAATAAAAAACTATGAAATATGTTTTGCGGCTCCAGACAAACACTTTTTTGGAAAAAGGAGCAAAATGGCTATTTTGGTCAAAAAGGTTGCAGACCCCTGCTATAACACAATACAAACACAATGGTCTTACACCTGCATTAGGCTACTACATCACATTGTACATCAGCATGTTCAAATCGGATAGGTGGGCACTAGGGACATCTGGGCACCTCGATGTAGCCTACAATTGGCTATTTTGTCCAAAATGTTAAAAATAAATATTTGAAAAATGGTATTAAGTAATGCAAAGTATACATGATGTGAACATGCACGGTACATCATTATTAGACTTAATGTTATCCTTCAACCAACCATTTTCCCATCAATCAGCTGACTGACTCACACACACACACACACACACACACACACACACACACACACACACACACACACACACACACACACACACACACACACACACACACACACACACACGCAGAAGACCCGAGACAGATCTCCACTCACGGGCTTTACCCAACTGTGTTTTTCTTCCACTGTTTGTTGTAAGACACAAGTCTTTTCTTTTTAGAAGGGACAGGGCCCAGAACCACATCCTCTCTCTCTTCTCCTCTTTCATTATCACGTCCTCCACCGGCAGCGCTCATTTCCCCACACGACTGAACAGGCTGACATGCCACACAAACAATGATGCCGCGACCGCGGCCCACCGGAGAAAATCTCACACACACACGTGCGAGCATTGTGCCTGCCCTGTCAACTGAGCGGTCCTAGTGCCCTTCGCATACAGCACACAAACACACAGGCACGCAGCCAGACACACTGCATTGCGCGCAAACAGAAAAATAATTTTTATTTGTCCCTTTACACGGGAGTCCGGGACAAACAAAGTCCCGTACGGGACACGCCCCTTTTGACTCAAATACGGGGCGTCCCGGCTAATACGGGACGGTTGGCAACCCTAGCTGAGGGTGATAGAGGGTAACAGAGGCGGAGAAGCGGCGAACAGTCAACGCCAGCGTCCTCTCCGGCGGGAAAACCTTAATTATAATTATAATTAACCTTATTATATATGCTTCCGTTAGGCAATATTATAAGGAATCATTCTGTAAATTTTCATTGTTATGCGGATGATACTCAACTATATTTATCAATCAAGCCTAATGAAATTAATCATCTAATTAAAATGCAAGACTGCCTCAAGGACTTAAAAATGTGGATGACCTTAAACTTTTTCATGTTAAACACGACCAAAACTGAAGTTATTGTACTCGGCCCAAAGAATCTACGAAACAAATTATCTAAAGATATACTAACTATGGATGGCATTAATTTGGCCTCCAGTGAGACTGTAAGGAATCTTGGTGTTATATTTGATCAGGATTTATCCTTTAACGCCCACATTAAATCAATTTCAAGGACCGCCTACTTCCATCTACGTAACATTGCAAAAATCAGGCATATCTTGCCTCAAAACGATGCAGAGAAACTAGTCCATGCATTTGTTACTTCAAGGCTGGATTATTGTAACTCCTTATTATCAGGGTGTACCAAGAAGTCAGTCAAGTCGCTTCAGCTGATTCAAAATGCTGCGGCTCGTGTACTAACCAGAGTTAGGAAAAGGGACCACATTACTCCTGTTCTGGCTGCCTTACACTGGCGCCCTATAGAACACAGGATAGAATTTTAAATTCTTCTTCTCGCCTACAAAGCCCTTAATGGGCAGGCGCCATCTTACCTTAAAGAAATCATTATACCCTACTGTCCTATAGGGCATTGCGTTCCAAGAATGCAGGGTTGTTGGTTGTTCCAAGAGTCTCTAATTGCGCGTTTCCACTGCAGCGGGTAGCTCGCTTTAAGCGTGCCGAGTCGTGCGGGGCCCGTTTTTGGTTGCGCTTCCACTTGGCCTAGTTTTGGCCCGGGGCTACTTTTTCACCTTTTTTCTGGCCCAACTAAATCGTGGTTCTAGGGCCAGGAACAACCAGGCTGAGTCGGGCTGAGTATGCTAAACTAGAGAGAGAATTTCTGGCAAGGGGGCTACTACAACAAGATGAACATATTTGACCGTGATTTAATTGTAATACACGTTTCAAAATGATGCCGAAGTAACAACATACTGATACCGGTTAGTAAAAACCATGAATTAATGCTTTGACAAGTCTGCAGACAGACGGCAGGTGAAAAATCCTTTTAAAATGCGTGTTTTCTAAATGGAGCTTGGCTAAGCTAATGTTATATATGCTCCGACCGTCCACACTCACAACAACGGCCTATACAGACATAAATAAACCAGCGACTGTATTCGCCATGACACAGGCAGTCTGTGGTTTGTACTTGTTTAACTTTTGTCTAGTTTCTGAACAGATATGAAGAGCTGTGAGCTCTGAGTGCTAAGAGCTAATGGCTGTGTTGTTTTTTGGGGCGCTCATTGAAGATGACGTCACGGCTCCGCCTACACTGCGTTACTATAGTAACTACCCCAGTTCCTAAACTGTAATGGAAGCGCAGCATTAAAGTGAGCCGGGCCTAATAAGGCCTAACCAAACCGAGCGAGGCCGAGCGAGGCCTGCAGTGGCAACGCGCCATTAAAGTACAATGGGAGCCAGAGCCTTTTCTTATCAAGCTCCACATTTGTGGAATCAGTTTCCAGTTTGTGTTCAGGCGGCAGACACCCTATCCGTTTTTAAGAGTGCGCTTAAGACCTTCCTTTTTGATAAAGCTTATAGTTAGGGCTGATTAGATTCAGCCCCTAGTTTTGCTGCTTTAGGCTTAGTTTGTCGGGGGACACCTTACTTCTCCTTCTCTCTGTCTATACCTGTGTACTCTCATGTTCTGAATAACCCAGCTTCCCCAAATTTCTTTTTGGTGTCTATATACGCCGGGATCCGGAGTCATGGCTGATCGTGTTGCTGTGGTCCTGAGTCCTGGATCGCGAGCCCTGGATCTTGAGTCGTGGCTGTGCCTGTTGCTGTGGTCCTGGATGGATATCCTCGTGGATTCATCTTCTTATTATAGACACATGCATTTCCAAACATTTGGACTACCTATGTTGTAAATGTATTATCTTTTCAATTTACACACGGCATCTATTGCACGTCTGTCCGTCCTGGGAGAGGGATCCCTCCTCTGTTGCTCTCCCTAAGGTTTCTCTCATTTTTCCCTTTAAACTGTGGGTTTTCTTCGGAAGTTTTTCCTTGTACGATGTGAGGGTCTAAGGACAGAGGGTGTCGTATTGTCATACTGATATTCTGTACAAACTGTGAAGTCCACTGAGACAAATGTAATATTTGTGATATTGGGCTATATAAATAAACATTGATTGATTGATTGATTTTGCAAGGGATCAAAGCCCTTTACATCACATTATATTACATGTTAATTATTAGACATGTAATACATTCAATACTGTGGACAATACCCACAGGAGAGATTTGGGGTGAAGGGTCTTGCCCAAGGACACATCGAGTGACTGTTTACACATTTATATTACATTTATATAGACCAGCCATTATTTGTTGTGGTAGTAGTGAGATAACAATGCAGTGCATCTTTCCTTATGACTGTTCATTCCCAGCCATCCTATTGGTCATCATGCATCATCAAGGTCATCCTCATGTGTCATCGTCACTATCTCCCATGAATACACACATGCATGAGGAGGCGTGTGGTGCAGTGGGTTGTGCGTTGGTGTTCGGATTAGGGGAGCACAGGTTCAAACCCCACTGCAGTCAGCATGTCGTTGTGTCCCTGGGCAAGACACTTCACCCCAAATTGCTCCTGTGGGATTGCCCACAGTATTGAGTATGTAAGTCGCTTTGGATAAAAGCGTCTAACAAGTGACATGTAATGTAATGAAAGGGAAAGGCTGTTTGATAAAAAGCACAACTCTATGTTCAAAGTGCATGTAAAAGGAGGTGCAAAAGCTTGATTGCCACCTTGTGTAGTTTTAGTTACATTCTAGATGAAAAGCAGCATCAGGTC